CAATAGGACAGGGAGTAATGGGTACAAATTGAAACACAGGAAGTTTCATCTCCATACAAGGAAAAACTTCTTTACTGTGAGGGTGACTGAGCCCTGGAGTTCCCATTGCACAATGTCACACTTCTGGTCTTCCTGATTGATACCAGTAAGGTTCAGTAATGCAAATTTAGTGCCTATTGCTATTTGGCAACCAATCTTGGTGGTTTTATTTCCTTGTCAAGGGTCCTCTGTGTTATGCATAACTGAGGCAGCAGGGGGAGCCCAAAGATTTTGCTCATCAGACAGAATGACAGTGACAATAACAACCGCAGTGACAATGAAAGACATTGGTTCTTTAAAGACTTCTTTAAAACTAATATACCATATGCATATCCCTTTATTATTTAGCTGGTAATTTTAAATCTTAGAGTTTTTTTTTCAAGGCTAATGGCTAGGTTTGGTTTTGCTTACTGAAAATCCTTTGTGTCAATTCAGGGAAAAATGATCTATCTATCTATCTATATATTTTAAATCAAATAAGTTGTTTTAATAAGTTGTTCGGTGTGTAATGATTTAGAATACATATCAGGACATAGGCACCTGAATTGTAAGGATTATAGTAAGTAACAGTAAAACACTGAAGAGCAGTAAATAGACTTTTGTTCAACAACACAGAAATTCAGTTATAGCACAACAGAAAACATGCTTTTCATTGTAATTTTTAAATGAAAAGATTTTCATCTGTTTTCAAACACCATTCATTTTCAGTGCTGGGAAGTAGTAAAAAAATTAAATACACAATAGAAAGTCTTATCTATGCTTCAGTATTTGTTGTTTTAAAAAGCCAGATTTAATTCTTTGAGAATTCGACTGCTGCTGATCATAAGCATTTGAACTGTGTCAGTGAACATGTTGTAAACAGAATATCACTACCATGAAGTCAGCATTTGTCCTAACATCAAGGTAATGTTCAATTGTCCAGACTTGAAATGAATATAATAATATTAGAAGTCCCGAGATTTTGTCCATGTTTTGATATTTTCTCTATAATGATTTTTATGTATCAGGTTAAATTTGTATCTTTAGTGGCATCCATTTTATGTGAAAGCCCCTTTTACTTTATTGACTTTTCTTTCCTACTGTAAGAATTTTCTTTTTTTTTTTTCCCCAGAAATCCAGTCATAGTTTGTAACATCTTAATGTTTTTTTTTTATTGGCCTGTTTTAAAGGTAACGTGGACTAAAGCATAATTTCATTATAAATGGGTAACTACTCGATAATGTAAAATAACCTCAAGGTAAGGCTAAAACGGAAGTGATGAAACCAACTCAAGGGACGCACAGCTCATGTTCGTTTCATTTACAGCCAAATTCCTGTTCTCCAAAGACAGCGGCTACAGCGGGAAGGTGATTTTTCCAGAGCCTGGTAGTGTAGTGTATATCACAGCAACAAAAGATACTCAAGTTATGATCCGATTGACCCAGGGGTGAGCTATTTTGTGTAAAGGAAGGAATCTGTGTAATTATCCTGCATTGCTCGGAATTTTTTAGCCAGCTGTTATCCAGTATAAACACCCACCTCCACCATAAATGCCACTAATGCCAGTGCCAGAAGAAGCTCTGGTTTTGCTCGCATCTGGATACACTCTCTTTGGAGAGCTGTGCTCCCTGAGCACTTAACCAGTCTGCCTCATCTTGGGTTCTGGTTTCAAGCCACTGTGTAGGATGTTCATATAGGGCACTTAAACCCACTCAAAAAACTGCTCTTGTTCAGCCTAAAGATCAAAGGCAATTTCATTTGCACTCTGCTAGCAACTGTGTAGAGATTTCAGAAAGCTTTTATAATTACCAAATTATGTTGTTAAGTTGTTAAATAAATATTCTACTTGTACAAATGTCAGAAGTGGCTTGCCAAGGCCAGGTGCAGCTTGGCAGCTCAGATTAGAGCTCATGGTTTTTAGCTTGCAGGCCTGGCTTTTTAGAATGAAATCATTTAGCTCTCCAGATTGAAAGTACTATTGAGCAGTAAGTGCTTAAGATGAGCCATATACTGAAGAATGCAAATATTCTACAAATATTTGCCTAAGTCTGTCAGTCTTTTGTCATACTAAGTATAAATACAAAAAAGACGTGATGTCTGGATTTATAAAGTGATTACTAAATTGTACTGGAAGGCACTGTTTACCCTTCTAATTTCTTTTCCACATTGAAGGTGAACTCGGTCAATTTATTTCCAAATCTATGGCAATTTTTATGTATGAGCAACTTAAATTTGTCAAAAATCCTTTTTATACTGATTTAATTGTTGGATCTTTGTGCTTCAGTAACCCTGTGCTTTGTCTTCTGCTTTGCTCTAGATCTACGCATTCAGCGAATAAAGAGTAGCTGCTGTAGAGCATTATTCTAATTCTGTGGGTATCGCTTAATCCTCTGATCAAACCTGAATAAATCTCCTTGAATGCTATGTCAATCTGTTTGGGATTTGCAATCTGGCAAGGCACCCAAGTTGAAATACTAAATTAAATCAATTTTCTACCTGGAAAGAATTGCATGCCTGTCCTAATAGCATCTACCACAATGTTTCAAGATTTGTAAAGATCAAGTAGCTATGAGTATCACTTCAATGATAAGGGTGCTAAATATGACTTTTGAATTGTTATTTATTTCCTAAATTGGCATTCCTAACTATGACTTTGGCTACGTTCAAAGGTTTCGTTTTGTTCTTAAGTAGTAGTTCATAAGGATGGCTTTTGCTCCGTATTATTCCTTTATAGAATCATACGATCATAGAATGCTCAAGGTTGGAAGGGACCTCTAGAGGTTATCTAGTCCAATCCCCCTGCACACACAGGGTCACCTAGAGCACGTGGCACAGGACTGCGTCCAAGCGGGTTTGGAAGATCTCCAGAGAAGGAGATTCCACAACCTCTCTGGGCAGCCTGTTGCAGTGCTCTGTCACCCTCACTGGTAAGAAATTTTTCCTTAAGTTCCTGTGGAACTTTTGGTGCTTCAGTTTGTGGCCATTCCCTCTAGTTCTGTCAGGGGCCAGCAGGGAAAAGAGGCCAGCACCATCCTCCTCACTGCCTCCCTTGAGGTACTTATAGACACTGATCAGATCCCCTCTCAGCCTTCTCTTCTCCAGGCTGAACAGGCCCAGCTCCCTCAGCCTCTCCTCATAGGGCAGATGTTCCAGGCTCCTGATCATCCTCGTAGCCCTGTGCTGAACTCTCTCCAGCAGCTCCACATCCCTCTTGTACTGTGGAGCCCAGAACTGGACACAA